AAAACTGTTTCAGTGTAGCAATATTCTTGGGATGTCTGGTGTGAATCGCTCTCTTAAGGTCATGCTACAGCATTTCAATCGGGTGGTTGGATAAGAAGACCTGGCTTACAATTCATCCCAAAGGTGTTTAATAGGGATGATGCCAGGGCTCTGTGAAGACCACACTAAATAGTCAAACCATGTAGCTATGGGATTGGCTTTGTGCACAGGACGTACGGTGTTGCTTTAAGAGAAAATAAAGCCTTCCCCAAACTCTTACTGCAAGGTTGGAAGCACAAAACTGTCTAAAATATACTGAATATACCTGATAATAACCCAACAGACCTGTCGCTACAGACCTCCACATACAACAGGCCATGAATGTGGGGAAGAGGCCCTTGTCTTCATTAGCATGGGCTCCCTGGAAAAGTACCAGCTTCATGTTAAGGGCACATGTCCGAAAGGGTTTCAGGAGGGGGGCACACAATTATTGTCCCTTCCCCCTTTCCTGGCCATCTAGGCTGCATGCTTTTTGGTTAAAGGTCTGGTGTGGATTTTAGAGGACACATGCATGCCAATCTACCAATATGTCTGCTCCCAGCAAAAATTAATTTCAAATTACAGTTACTGGCCCCACATCTGAATGTAAGAAGGCACACAGTTAACCCTTTGATTGCCCCTATATGTTAACCCCTTCCCAGTCAGTGTCATTAGCACAGTGACAGTGTACATATTAGCATTAGTTACTATATTAGTGTCACTGTTGATGTCAGTGTCAGTAAGTCAGTTCAAACCCAGTGTCTGTTAGTGTCAGATTGCCTGCCACGCTATCACAGTCCCACTATAAGTCGCTGATCACCGCCATTACTAGTATGAAAAAAAAAATTCCATTATATATACCATAGCTTGAATGTAAAAAGGCACACAGTTAACCCTTTGATTGCCCCTATATGTTAACCCCTTCCCAGTCAGTGTCATTAGCACAGTGACAGTGTACATATTAGCATTGGTCACTGTATTAGTGTCACTGTTGATGTCAGTGTCAGTTAGTCAGTTTAAACCCAGTGTTAGTGTCAGATTGCCTGCCACGCTATCACAGTCCCAGTATAAGTCGCTGATCACCGCCATTACTAGTATGAAAAAAAAAATTCCATTATATATACCATAGCTTGAATGTAAAAAGGCACACAGTTAACCCTTTGATTGCCCCTATATGTTAACCCCTTCCCAGTCAGTGTCATTAGCACAGTGACAGTGTACATATTAGCATTGGTCACTGTATTAGTGTCACTGTTGATGTCAGTGTCAGCTAGTCAGTTCAAACATAATGTCTGTTAGTGTCAGATTGCCTGCCACACTATCACAGTCCCACTATAAGTCGCTGTTCACCGCCATAACTAGTATGAAAAAAAAAAATTCCACTATATATACCATAGTTTGTAGACAATATAACCTTCCCACACACACCAATTAATATACACTTATTGAGATTTGTTAGACCAAAAACATGTAGCAGAATACATTTTGGCCTAAATTTATGAAGAAATTTTATTTTTTAATTTTTTTTTAATTGGGTATGTTTTTATAACAGAAAGTAGAAAATACTGTTTTTCTTTTCAACATTTTTATTCTTTTTTTTTCATTCATATCATTTAAAGAAAACAAAAACAAAAAAAGTGGTGATTAAATATTACCAAAAGAAAGGTCTATTTGTGTGAAAAAAAAATATATAAATTTAATTTGCGTACAGTCTGACATAACAACGCAATTTCCAGTTAAAGTAGAGCAGTGCTGAATAGCAAAAGATAGCCTGGTTATAAAGGGGATAATTTGTTCTGGAGCTTAAGTGTTCAAGGAAATTGTGTATTTTAAATGTTTCTCTTCAAACCTAAAAGAGTGTATCCAGGCCAAACTGAATTATTTTTTTTTTTGGAATCGGTACATGCCCCTTCCTTCTCCTTGTCAGTGCCCAGCTCTACTTGCCCTTTGTCTGACAATCCCCTGCCCATGCAATCCATGATGTATTGGTCAGGGCTGCTCTCTGTATCATTAAGAATCAAGCACCGCCAGGAGAAATCCAAAGAGTAAGAGAATCAGGAGATCAACCTGATGACATCTGGCAAATTAGTAGTTTGCTATATAGTTCTTTATCAATGTATAATAATGCCGCAGTATCGCGGATGCAGAGTATATATAGAGAGAGCAAGATGTCTCACATCCACCCGCTCCATGAGGACATCTGGTGACGAAACGCGTAGGTAGAAGCTTGTGGATGTGACGTCACGACGTTCCTTGAGCTGTCGGCATCCGCGGATGCCGGAGGAGGCTGGGTTCGCTTGCCGTTTGATACTGAGAATGCTGTTATCTGCTGGTTTTTGGCTTAGACACCATTGATTGTGAGTTTAATGATTGATTTTAAATAAAAAAGTTTTTTAACGATACTGCACCATGAGCTTTTCCTCTCTTGACTTCCGAGTACCTTTCTGTGCATATGAAGAGGCGGGGGCCATATGGAAATATCCCACATTGCTGATTATCCTCCTGCAGAGTATTGATCCGAGACCATAAGGAAACACTCCGTATTGCTGATTATCCTCCTGCAGAGTATTGATCCGAGACCATAAGGAAACACTCCATATTGCTGATTTTCCTCCTGCAGAGTATTGATCCGAGACCATAAGGAAACACTCCATATTGCTGATTATCCTCCTGCAGAGTATTGATCGGAGACCATATGGAAATATCCCACATTGCTGATTATCCTCCTGCAGAGTATTGATCGGAGACCATAAGGAAACACTCCATATTGCTGATTATCCTTCTGCAGAGTATTGCTCCGAGACCATAAGGAAACACTCCATATTGCTGATTATCCTCCTGCAGAGTATTGATCCGAGACCATAAGGAAACACTCCATATTGCTGATTATCCTCCTGCAGAGTATTGATCCGAGACCATAAGGAAACACTCCATATTGCTGATTATCCTCCTGCAGAGTATTGATCCGAGACCATAAGGAAACACTCCGTATTGCTGATTATCCTCCTGCAGAGTTATGATCCGAGACCATAAGGAAACACTCCATATTGCTGATTATCCTCCTGCAGAGTATTGATCCGAGACCATAAGGAAACACTCCATATTGCTGATTATCCTCCTGCAGAGTATTGATCGAGACCATAAGGAAACACTCCGTAATGCTGATTATTCTTCTGCAGAGTATTGATCGGAGACCATAAGGAAACACTCCGTATTGCTGATTATCTTCCTGCAGTGTATTGATCCGAGACCATAAGGAAACACTCTGTATTGCTGATTATTCTTCTGCAGAGTATTGCTCCGAGACCATAAGGAAACACTCCGTATTGCTGATTATCCTCCTGCAGAGTATTGATCCGAGACCATAAGGAAACACTTCGTATTGCTGATTATCCTCCTGCAGAGTATTGATCCGAGACCATAAGGAAACACTCCGTATTGCTGATTATCCTCCTGCAGAGTATTGATCCGAGACCATAAGGAAACACTCCATATTGCTGATTATCCTCCTGCAGAGTATTGCTCTGAGACCATAAGGAAACACTCCATATTGCTGATTATTCCTCCTGCAGAGTATTGCTCCCAGAGCACAAAGCGCTTATGCTGATTTATAATTTGATCAGCATATTGCTCTGGTGAGTTTATTTAATTTATCTGGTGGTGGATTATTGCACGGTGAATTTGGCTGGATACAGAATTATCAATATGAAAGTGATAATCGCTTAAAGACACAAAGAAAATGATTGTTTTCTGTTGGTGATTTGGACTTTCTTTGGACATGTATATATAAATTGTGAAATATATAAAAATATGTATATATATATATATATATTATATATATATATATATATATATATATATATATATATATATGTATATATATATTTATATATATTTCACATTTTATTCGGACACTATTAATTATTTTATATTCATCACTAATATGTTTATATTGTGGATATATTTATATTTGGGTTGTTGATATGAGCGCAAACCTGTTTTTTCACTGACATCTGGCAAAGGCTAGCATAATAAAGGCGTAATATACTGCTGGTGGGGATTTCTTGGGGTAGAGGTGGGCAATCGGGGAGGCCTGGAACCTAGAGTAGGGCTTGAGGTTTCTCTTTATGTACTGTATTTCTAATGTCTTATAATCCAGCGGTAATCTTTAGATGAAGACATATTTGGCTGTATTTCTAAATATTTCCCTGTATAGAGACATTTTAATGATGAATGTAATGTGTTATGATACATTAGTTTTACAGCAGTTCAGAATAATGAAAGCGTAATTCTGGGCAGCCTCTATGTATACCTCATATTGTGAGATAATAGCGGGTCACATAGTTATCATGCGATTACTCATCTAGAAACTGACAGTGATTAGGACGCCTCAGTTGGCAAGTGGAGTGAGAGCAATATGAGAAAGATTAGTACCATGCAAGAAAATAAAAGTCACTCCATAACAGTTGCAGGCAAACAGAACTGTACCGCTTTGAATTCAGAGGCCATCAGCAGGAGGCCTATAAAAAAATGTGCTTATAAAGTCTAAGGCTCCATGTACACTGCAGCTGATAAAATGACGTTTAGGAGCTTTTCTGCGTTTTTTTTCAGCAGCCCCTGAACTCCCCCTAATGTTTTCCTCTGTGTCCGTGTACACATCGTCGTTTACAGTCGTTTACAGGCAGTTGAGTTTACAGTCGTTTTTTTGAACGCACCAAACTGGCGTTCAGGAGTAGATTTTATCAGCATTTCAAATGGCAAAGGCTTGTAAATGCGTGAAAACACGGCTAACCGCATTTATAAATGTTTTTTTAACTGTTCCATATCCAGATGCTGTCCAGAGCCTTTTTTCATCATCAGAAATGCATCCAAAGTGTTTTCTATGTATTCAAATGGACCCGGTACACCAGAGCAGTCAGTTCCAGGTTTTGTGTGAAGGAAAAAATGGTAGAACGTGCCGCATTATGCTCATGCCACCCCCTCTGCCAATCCCTCCACTGGCCTCCACTCAGTGTCCTCCACCCCCCTCTGCCAATCCCTCCACTGGCCTCCACTCAGTGTCCTCCACCCCTCTCTGCCAATCCCTCCACTGGCCTCCACTCAGTGTCCTCCACCCCCCTCTGCCAATCCTCCACTGGCCTCCACTCAGTGTCCTCCACCCCCCTCTGCCAATCCCTCCACTGGCCTCCACTCAGTGTCCTCCACCCCTCTCTGCCAATCCCTCCACTGGCCTCCACTTAGTGTCCTCCACCCCTCTCTGCCGATCCCTCCATTGGCCTCCACTTAGTGTCCTCCACCCCTCTCTGCCGATCCCTCCATTGGCCTCCACTCAGTGTCCTCCACCCCTCTCTCTGCCAATCCCTCCCACTGGCCTCCACTCAGTGTCCTCCACCCCTCTCTGCCAATCCCTCCACTGGCCTCCACTCAGTGTCCTCCACCCCTCTCTGCCGATCCCTCCATTGGCCTCCACTCAGTGTCCTCCACTGCTCTCTGCCAATCCCTTCACTGGTCTCCACTCAGTGTCCACCCCTCTCTGCCAATCCCTCCACTGGCCTCCACCCCTCTCTGCCAATCCCTCCACTGGCTTCCCGCTGCCCAACGGATACAATTCAAAACACTAACAATAACATATAAAGCCATTTATAACTCTGCCCCAAATTACATCTCCAATCTTGTCTCTAAATATCACCCAAACTGTACTCTCCGCTCCTCACAAGACCTCCTGCTCTCTAGCTCCCTTATCTCCTCCTCCCATGCTCATCTCCACTACTTCTCCAGAGCTTCCCCCATCCTCTGGAACTCTCTACCCCAATTTATCAGACTATCGCCTACTCTGCTCACTTTTATGCGATCTCTGAAAACCTATCAGTTCAGGGAAGCCTATTCTGCCCTCAGCTAATACTGGAATCTTCTACTCTTCCAACCAGTCCATCCCCCACAGTTACTTTTGTACCACTAGCCCCTCCCTCCTAGATTGTAAGCTCCAAGGAGCAGGGCCCTCCTATCCCTCTTGTATTGAACTGTATTGTTGCTGTATTGTCTCCCGTTATATTGTAAAGTGCTGAGCAAACTGTTGGCGCTATATAAATCCTGTATAATAATAATAATAAAAATAATGATGGGATCCATAGTGAATACAACCAGAAAAGACAGGTCATCTCAACACATACTGTTCTCTCTGCTTCTGCTCTCTCTATTTCTCTCAAAATGTCTGATATAGTTAATTTTTTACTGTTTTTCAGTGCATTCTGGGCATTTTGGAAGGTCTCCTGAGGTTATCTTTAAAAAACACTTCTAAACGCAAACTCGCATAAATGCGGTATGCAGACCTGGCTGAATCCAAAGAACAAAGGTATACCGCTCAGGCAAACAATCCAGATCAATCCACAACAGTTGCAGGCTCTGGCTCGCCACCACACACGATGCAATAGCTGTTATGATTAAGCACAAGATCTTGTGAAACGCGTTAACAGGTCCTGTATTCATGTCCTGGTGTTTTGTGTGTCCTATGGATCAATAAATACACACTATATTCATCTGGCTGACCCTTCTTCCTAATGCAAACGTGGCTAAACAGATTTTTTTTAACCTACGTTTTCCAGCAGTTAGTTTCCATCATTCAGAAGTGTTTTCCAAACATCCCGTGTACAAGGAGCCTAACACCATCTTTGAGTAAAAGCCAGCTCCAACCAAAAGGGATGCTGAATCACATACTAGCTTCCCATATCTCCTTAAGACGCCACCAACATATAGCACAACCAGATTCCCCATGTGCAGACTCCCATCATCCAATCATGTCCAAGCAAAAATACCATTTTCTATTCTTTTTGCAAGTGATTGGATATTCTTTGTAAAGTGAATTTTCATCACATTTGCTAAGCTAAGGGTACATTAATTTGCAAAGTACAAAAGGGATTTGCCATTCCATGCTTGAAAGCAAGCTGAATCACGTGCTAGCTTCCCATATCTCCTTAAGACCGCCACCACCATATAGCACAACCAGATTCCCCATGTTCACCCAGCAACCCTTTCAAAATCAAATGATGGTGCCTCAGGGATTGATTTACTACAGGCTAAGAGGATATTAACTTTGTGAGTGAATTTGCACTTAGCTTAGTGAATGAGGTGAAGTTCTGCAGACTCCCATCATCCAATCATGTCCAAGAAAAAATACTATTTTATTATTCTTTTTGCAAGTAATTGGATATTCTCTGCAAAGTGAATTTTCATCACATTTGCTAAGCTAAGGGTACATTAATTTGCAAAGTGCAAAAGGGATTTGCCATTCCATGCTCGAAAGCATGCTGAATCACATACTAGCTTCCCATATCTCCTTAAGACCGCCACCACCATATAGCACCACCAGATTCCCCATGTCCACCCAACAACCCTTTCAAAATCAAACAATGGTGCCTCAGGGATTGATTTACTACAAGCAAAAAGGATATTAATTTTGTGAGTGAATTTGCACTTAGCTTAGTGAATGAGGTGAAGTTCTGCAGACTCCCATCATCCAATCATGTCCAAGCAAAAATACTATTTTCTATTCTTTTTACAAGTGGTTGGATATTCTTTGCAAAGTGAATTGTCATCACATTTGCTAAGCTAAGGGTACGTTGCCTTACAAAGTGCAAATTAATTTGCCTGCAGTAAATTAACCACCATGACTCCATCATTTGGATTTGAAAGGGTTGTTGTATGAACATGCAGAATCTTGTGTTGCTATCTGGTGGTGGTGGTGGTGGTCTTAAAGAGATACAGTATAAGAAGCCAGCATGTGATTCAGTGGGTACTCAAGCATGGAAAACTCCAATATGTCTCAATGAATTCTTCATAATGAGGCTTCCTTCAGAATGCTCCTATGCAGGGGCGGACTGACCATTTGGAAACTCGGGCACTGCCCGAGGGCCCGGGGTCAGTAGGGGGCCCCATGAGATGCCCCTGGTACCTTTTTCATAGGGTTTTTTTGAGTTTGGGCAAGGGAACAGGGGCCCCATGATCCCTTATTGCCCGGGGGCCCCATGAGTTGTCAGTCCGCCCCTGCTCCTATGCATGAAAATAAAAATTAAGCGTAAATGTATGACATTAAATTTGGTAAAGTGTATCATAAACAACTACCATTTGTTTCCTATAAGTTACTGTTTTGAACCTTTTTCATCTTTATTTTTATCTAAACACTGCTTATCTCCTCCATCCTCTTTCCCCTAATTCCTGTCCACATGCACTCTCCCTGCCAGCTGCATATCATTTGCTGGACCAGCTTCCTAATAGTAATAACAGTGAAACAGGCCTGTACAACATGTGTCAGCATAACAGCTTGTAGACTACATAAGGGGAGCATATGATGGGACAATCCAGGAATACAGATGAAAGACTTTCATCCTGGCTACACAAGGGCCTTCATGGTAGGATCAATTGATATTATTTTCATAAAAGCTGCAAATACAAAGAAGATTGAAAGTAACTTTTATTACATAAACACATTATAAGATTTTAGGGATCAGGTATCAAACTAAACTACATGGCCAAAAGTATGTGGACACCCCTCCAAACAATTGTGCTTAGGTGTTTCTAGTTAGACAATTGTGCTCTTTCAACCATGTGGTAACAGTTGGGTGAAGGCCTTTGTTTGTTCCAGAATGACTGCCCTTGTGCACAAATTCATAAAAGGGAAACTTCAGTAGTCGGCACAAAACTCTAACCTAAATGCTGTTGACCTATGGAATAAATATAAACACTGATGGAAAGCCGGGTCTTCTCCTCCAACATCAATATTTGACCTCCCAAATGCTCTCTTGGATGAGTGGGCACAAATTCCCACAGGCACACTTCAAAATCCTGCAGAAATCCTTCCCAGAAGAATGGAGTCTTTTTATAGAGTCTAAGAGGCAGGTGGTAGGGTAAACTCTATATTAATGGCCTTAGGTTTTCAATGAAATGTAGTATTATTATTATACAGGATTTATATAGCGCCAACAGCTTGCTCAGCGCTGTGCATTATAACATTATAATGGGAGACAGTACACGAGACAGTACAGTAACAATACGATTCAATACACGAGGGGTTCGAAGGCTCTGCTCCTTGGAGCTTACGATCTAGGAGGGAGGGGATAGTGGTACAGGAGGAAATAACTGTGGGGGATGGAGTGGTAGGAAGAGTAGAGGAGTTCAGTAATTAGCTGAGGGCGGGGTAGGCTTCCCTGAAGAGATAGGTTTTCAGAGTGTGTCTAAAGGTGAGGAGAGTAGGTGATAGTCTGATGGATTGGGGTAGGGAGTTCCAGAGGATGGGGGAAGCCCTGGAGGAGTCCTGGAGACGGGCATGGGAGGAGGAGACCAGGGAACTAGAGAGAAGGAGGTCTTGTGAGGAGCGGAGAGTACGTTTTGGGTGGTATTTGGATCTGTAAACATGTAGTAAGGTGTTAGGACCTCATTGTACTGCCTTGAAAGAATTCTGCTGCACTGCTCCAGGGTGCCAATAGATGCCCCCACTTGTCCGCACTTTAACTGTGTAGGAAGTTTTCAAAGGGCAGTCAAGCATAGGACCAATGTGGCCTCCACTGTGGGATCTGGTCACCATCTTGGAGATGTGTTTCAGCATCCATTTTGGCACAGGCATGATATAAAAACAACATATACTATGTCACATGAGGAAGTCCTGCAAGGGAAAGCACAGAGAACAGCCACCATCATGTGAAGCTGAGAGCTTGGTCTACATGGCCAATCCTTTCAGACAGCGGGTCTGCTTCCAAACTAAGTAGAGTCAGTTTTAGGGGGGAGTGAGACCAGGAGCCATGATGTAAGGCTCAGGCACATCTTACACGATGGCTTACCCTTTGCGGTGAAGCTGGAAAACTTCAAAGTACACCAGGAGAGAGACATCAAAGCACTATGAGTACTCATGCTGTTAAAGACTTTTCCTTCAGTTAGGGAGGTCCTTCTGGGGATGGACAGGACAAGCTTTCCATCTTTTTAGGAGCCTGAAACTGTAAGTACACGAGTACTAGTAATTCTAAAAGAGGTCTGTTCTTTTGAAACTTTAGTTAAGCCACCATGTTGGAAATATCTCCGTGAAGAAAAAAAATTATTCCTAACAACGTACAGTTGTGTCCAAAATTATTCAACCCCCACTGAAATTGAGTGTTTTGGCCAGTTTGACATTGCTTTTGATCATTCAGTCATCTTGCTTACATTTACATTAAAGAGGCACTTGTAGGTCAGACAAATATAACATAACAGTTATAATGAAATAACCACAAATGTCTTTTCTGTGCTCACAGCATTATCAGTTTTATTCAACCCCCAAGTGACATTCAATCTTAGTACTTAGTACAGCATCCTTTTACAGTTATAACAGCTTTTAAACGTGAAGCATAGCTTGACACAAGTGTCTTGCAGCGATCTACGGGTATCTTCGCCCATTCTTCATGGGCAAAGGCCTCCAGTTCAGTCACATTCTTAGGCTTGCGCACTGCAACTGCTTTCTTTAAGTCCCACCAGAGGTTCTCAATCGGATTTAAGTCTGGTGACTGCGATGGCCACTCCAAAATGTTCCAGCCTTTCCTCTGCAACCATGCTCTAGTGGACTTGGAGGTATGCTTGGGATCATTGTCCTGTTGAAAGGTCCAACGTCTCCCAAGCCTCAGGTGTGTGACGGACTGCATCACGTTTCCATCCAATATCTCCTGGTACTGAAGAGAATTCATGGTACCTTGCACACGCTGAAGCTTCCCTGTACCTGCAGAAGCAAAACAGCCCCAAAGCATGATTGACCCTCCACCATGCTTCACAGTAGGCAAGGTGTTCTTTTCATCATAGGCCTTGTTCTTCCTCCTCCAAACATAGCGTTGATCCATGGGCCCAAACAGTTCTAATTTTGTTTCATCAGTCCACAGAACACTAATCCCACAACTTTTGTGGTTTGTCCACATGGCTTTTGGCATACTGCAGTCGACTCTTCTTATTCTTTGGAGACAGCAAGGGGGTACGCCTGGGAGTTCTGGCACGGAGGCCTTCATTACGCAGTGTGCGTCTTATTGTCTGGGCTGAAACTTCTGTACCCACATCTGACAAATCTTTTCTCAGTTCCTCAGCAGTCACACGGGGACTTCTCTCCACTCTACGCTTCAGGTAGCGCACAGCAGTCGAAGTCAGCATCTTCTTTCTGCCACGACCAGGTAGCGTTTCAACAGTGCCCTTTGCCTTGAATTTGCGAATGATGCTTCCTAAGGTGTCTCTTGGTATGTTTAACATCTTTGCAATCTTCTTATAGCCATTGCCCTTCCTGTGAAGAGAAATCACCTCTTCTCTTGTCTTCCTGGACCATTCTCTTGCCTTCACCATGTTTGTAACCACACCAGTAAATGTCTAGAAGGAGCTGAGTATCACAGTCATTTTAAAGCTGCCTAATTGGTGCTTATTATGCTTGATTGCTGCTCGGTGACATCCACAGGTGTTTTCAATACCTGATGGAAAGCACCTGTATGAACCTCTGTTCTTCAGAGTGGTAGTCTTTAAGGGGTTGAATAATTGTGGCAATGAAGAAACCACATAAGAACCATTTACTACTGTATTACATAAACAATTGATGTCATTTTAGTTGCATTTGGGTAGTTACAACGTCCTTGTAGGATTTGATTCTGAATACAATTCCAAATGTACACTATAGTCCCTAAACCCCTTTACAGCATTGGGGGTTGAATAATTTTGGACACAACTGTATGTTAAAATAAACCAAATCCAATCTGTGCCTGACCTAGACCTGGGATTACGCCAGTGTTCTCTGGTTTGGAATTGGGAAGTTGTCCTACCAATGGATCACCACTGATGTGGTATGGGGTGCATGGGTTCCCCATCTACTGAAATGTATCATAAATGTTTTGTCCTGCTGTCGCAAGGACCATGGTGTTGAAGTTGAAATCGATCTATCCTAGATTGTAAGCTCGAAAGAGCAGGGCCCTTGAACCCCTCGTGTATTGTATTGTACTGTATTTTCTCATGTTCTGTCCCCCTCGCTAATGTACAGCACTGAGCATACCCTTTGGCGCTATATAAATACTGTATAATAATAATAATAATAGAAAGAATATGGATCTGTAGAAAGATTTCTGGAGCTAGTGAAGACAGGTCTCTAAAAGTAAATGTTACCCTGACAGTACTGAAGCTGTGTAGAACTGAGCCCAGAGTTAAGTGACTTGATTTATTACCTCCTTTAACTGCCTGATAAGGAAGATAACCCTGTAGCAGGAAATGGCTTTACAGCTTGCTGGAAGGAGGGGTAACAAGTTGGTGTAGTCATTTTCCAGCCTCTGGGTGGGGGCTGCCTTAACTTCTTGTGCAACAAACTCCCGTAGGTGTGATCAGGAATTCACAAATCTTTTGCCTCCCATTGAAGCCTTTTTCTCCATGACCAGGGGCGGACTGACCATTGGGAAACTCGGGAACTGCCCGAGGGCCCGGGGTCAGTAGGGGCCCCATAAGATGCCCCTGGTACCTTTTTCATAGGTTTTTTTGAGTTTGGGCAAGGACAGAAGGGCCCCATGATCCCCTATTGCCCAGGGACCCCATGAGTTGTCTGTCCGCCCCTGTCCATGACTTACACCGGCTGATTTTGGAACTGGAACTACTGCACTGCTCGAGGGCCCAGGGTCAGTAGGGGCCCCATAAGATGCCCCTGGTACCTTTTTCATAGGTTTTTTTTGAGTTTGGGCAAGGACACAAGGGCCCCATGATCCCCTATTGCCCGGGGGCCCCATGAGTTGTCTGTCTGCCCCTGTCCATGACTTACACCGGCTGATTTTGGAACTGGAACTACTGCAGTGGGGGCACAGACAAAAACAAAAGCACATTCTTTGTAGTGTGAAAGATTTTAACACCTCTCCTATGAGTCCTTGTATGGTTACCAGCACAGGAAGTCGCGTAAATCCCCCCCAACTGGGACACAAAACAGAAATAAAACTTTACGAAAAAAAAAGTTCACATGCACTGTAACATCAAATATGATTCTTTTTTTTTCCCGGAGATAAAGAAACATTGTTTTTTTTACTGAGCATGTACTGTAAAACATCTTATGAATTAGGAGAAAAGGTCACGGTCGCTTTGGGTGTTCTGTACTTTTGTGCCGAAGGGAAGAAGTTGGCATGAAAACCGATGAAGACTAGTTAATGGACAGCTTTACTTAGACCCGCTTCCGACTCAAGAGACCGCTTCAAGACATTTAAAAAGGGGTTTGCAAGAATAGAGAGGCAACGTAAGGTAGAGCCTCAAAAGTCTTCAACTAAACCACGACTATAAAAACTATTTTACTTTTGAGTTAAAATTCTCTGAGCTGGGTTGATAGCAGTACTTTGTCAATATTTTCGTAATGCATTTTCACAGACGGATAAGCCTGGCTTCGATGCAACATATTGCGTCTCTCCACGGACCAACGGAGAGCAGTTTCTGAAGGGCTGAAACAAAAATAAGTATCTGGTGGTATGTTGCATGGCGTACAATCCCCAGCCTCGGTTAAACAATGTACTGTTCATTTATAATTTAGAGATGTGCCGGGAAGATTCTTTCTTAACGTCTATCTGCAAGCATCGGACTTATGAGATTGCAGGTCGACGCTGCTTATTATATTACAGTAAATTTAAAGCAAAAGTCGTTTCTCTTAAACGTTGCAATTTCCTCTCCTTCTTGCGAACGCCTCATTGTGCTCAACTAATATTTACAGCATGTATTCTGGAGCTGTTTTCCGTTATCTCTGAGGCTCAACTGAGCCGGCTTACTTTATAGGGCTCTTAAATATACAGGATCTGCAGAGATATATACAAATGAGATATTTCTCGGGTTAAAAGGTTCCCATAAATAAGGAACTGTAGCGAGCTTGCCTTAGCAGAGTTTTACAAATCTCATAAAGCAAAGATATATTTTTGACCTTGCCGCGCATGAAGACATCCAGTCTTTATCAACATCGCCACTCATTAGTGGTTCACCGGAAGGAACAAATTTAAAGTGCACATCTGACCTTCAAGGAGGACTCGCCATGTAGAAAATATTACAATTTGCGCTCTTAAAGAATACACTATATATTAACTTGGCTAAGCAAGGTTCCTTAAAGAAGGATACCTCATTTTGATTAGATACACATAAAGTAGGAAAGTTATAAACGCTTTTATGTTATAGCTGCAAACCCCGTTCATTTAATCCCCCAGGCTACTGTTAGGACAAGATGTTGAGAATAAATGGCTAGATGGAGGTGTAATGCAGATGGAATATTGGATATTAAGTGTACAGTTACAGGAATATATCAGAGCTCTACCCAGTTGCCATGGCTTTGAAAGTAAAGTGAGTACACATTTTAGGTTATTATTGTGACTTTTCCATCAAGACATTTTCTGAGAACACTTTTTATTTTTTTGTTTGCTTGATTCTTTCACTTCATGAACAAGTTGGACAATTTTTCCACTGGTGGTCATGTATATATCACTAGTGGTCATCGCAACCATTTGTCTACCGCCATTCATTTATGAGGTGTATGATGCTGTGGTTATGGTATGGATGGTATTTAGGATGGTAAAGTGGTGGATGCTAATTTCTGTTCCGTTTATAAGTAGCAGAGATGAGATTACCCTTGAGTGGTTATTAATGGCTGTGAACTGAGGCACTCGGGGTACTCAGTTAACAGAACAACAAATACTCAAAGAGGCACTAGGAACTTATAGACTTTCAAGTGTAGTCAGATAAAATAAAACTTCAAACAAACTCAAGAGCTCTTGCGAGGTGGCTCTCTCACAGCAAGGCTTCCCTTGATAGATACCCAACAGTAACACAAGCATAGAAACAAACAAGGGTGCTCAGGCCTGGTGCATTACCTTCTAAAAATTAGATTTATTGAATAAAAAACTCTCCCCCCAAAGCATCTTGTCCCCATGTTGATGGGGACAGGGGCCTCTTCCCCACAACCCTGGGCTGTAGTTGTGGGGGTCTGTGGGGGGGTGTCAGGAATGGACTCGCAATAGTGGTGGGACTCACCTGCCTTGTGGGTTGTAGTACCAGGGCTGGCCAGCGGGTGCTCCCAGCAACCAGAGGCTCACTCCTACAATGAGCCATCACCTGAAACTAATTACACAGGTGTATTTAACCATTAGCCGCCCGGCCAATGACCGTTTGGCGGCTTCAAACGTGTCTCTGCACTCCGGGTGCACGCCATTTGGCGTGCTCCCGCAAATGCGCAGTTTGCGCTAATGCAGAGCGGCGCAGCAGTGCTATCTGTCACTGGCCGTGTACCTCGGACACGGCCGATGACAGATCCGAGTACCGGCTCCTGTTGCTGGTACCATGTGACCTGCTGTGACCAATCACAGCAGGTCACATGACAGTTGTATACAATGGATGGCTTCATTCATGCCATCCATTGTATACTAGTGCCTAGCTGTGAATGGTCACAGCTAATCACATGCACATGTCATGTGATTAGCTGTGACCAAATCACAGCTAAGCACAAAAAAAAAAAAAAAAAAAAAAAAAAGCTGAATGAATCGATTTCATTCAGGTAAATGCTTGCTTATAGCAAAGTAATTCTTTGCTATAAGCAAATTGTGTAAAAAAAAAAAAAAATAAAATACTGATCACTTCCCCAAAGTAGTACAATGTTACTATGGTAACATTGTACTACTTTGGTCATAGTAAAATATGAAAAAAAATCTTAAAAAAAATAAAAAAAAATGTAATAAAAAATTAAATATAATAAAAAAATTAAAAAAAATTAAAAAAATATACATATATATTTTTTTTTTCATACTGTCACCAGTCAGTGTCCCTGTTAACCGCCATGCCAGTTATATGATGACGCTCTACTGCACTGGTGACAGTATGTAAAAAAAAAATAGTGAAAATAATTTTTTTAATTTTTTCATTTTCCGAAAAATTATGACAAAAAAATACAACTTCAAAAAACTCGCCATGCCTCTTATGAAGTACGTCGGAATGTCTACTCTGCAAAAAGGGGTCATTTGTGGGATATCTGTACTATTCTGACTTTTGGGGGATATCTGTACTGTCCTGACATTTGGGGGATATCTGTACTATTCTGACATTTGGGGGATATCTGTACTGTCCTGACATTTGGGGGATATCTGTACTGTTCTGACATTCTTGGACCTCAAGAAATTAGATTGGCTGTCAGTACTTCAGGATTGATCAATATTCAGATCTATACCATAGTTTGTGAACTCTATAACTTTCCTACAAACTAAAAATACATCCTAATTTGGGTTATTTTCACCAAAGACATGTAGCAGAATACATCTCGGCCTAAATTTATGAAGAACAATTATTTATTTGTAAACTTTTATAACAGAAACAAAGAAAAATGTGGTTTTTTTTTCAAAATTTTTGGTCTTTTTTTTTGTTAATTTAGCAAAAAATAAAAACCCCAGCGGTGATTAAATACCACCAAAAGAAAGCTCTAGTTGTGTGAAGAAAATGATAAAATTTTAGTTTGGGTACAATGTTGTATGACCGCGCAATTGTCATTCAAAGTGTGAGAGGGCTGAAACCTGAAAAATGGCCTGGGCAGGAAGGTGTAAAATTGCACGGTATTGAAATGGTTAAGGAATGGCCAGGCCTGTGTTCAGGGACTTGGTGTTTGTTTCCCATGAGCCCCTGTACCTGCATCCTGTCTGCTTCCTGCCTGATCCTGATTCTGCTTAATCCTGATTCTGCATGAACTCTGCCTGTCCTGACCTCGGCTATTCCTGACTACGCTTCGCCTGCTCCTTGTACCTCGCTGCCCGCACGATACCGACCCGGCCTGCCTGACTACGCTCACTTCACCCGACGATCCACCCCGCACGGATCACTTCAGTAAGTCTGCCTGCCTCTTCCCATCAGACTCCGTTCCCGCACTCCCCTGCCAGTACTCTCTACCACAGCCGGACGCACTCAGAGGGCGCGACCTGGTTCCAGTCTGCACCAAGTCCATCCCCACCATCAGGGGCCCTGGTGAACAGCAGGCTGGGACTTAGACCCCGCGCCCTGAGGAAATCCGTGCTGTGGGCTCGGCCTGCCTGACCACTCCACATCACCAGCCCTGACTGCCCTTGTCTGTGTATATTCTGTTATCAGTTGGTTTTGTTATATTGTGCGTTTGTATTTGTGTTGTACCTTTAATAAATTATATTGTTTACTATACCTGAAGCCTGCGTTTTCCTGTGTCAGTCCACACATTTCTGGTCATACCCGGATCCCTAACAGGGGGAGACATCTTGTGTCCCCCCCCTTGTGATGAATATGGGGTATATAGTACCCCTACCCATTCACCAAAAAAGTGTAACGTGAATAAAAACACGACTACAGTTTTTGACAAGTCCTTTATTTTAAAAAGAAAAGCCCTAAAATATGTTTCTATCATTGTAATACATGGTCAGTCATGGCGTCTAGCATTGTCACAATGACACCGACTCACCAAAGTAAAAAAAATCTGTCTCCTGCTGATCTGTCTGCACCCGCCGAGTACTCGCCGCTATCTGACAATTGCGAGTCAGATGTAAACAATTGGACGGAGCTAGCGGAGATGTCACAGCTAGCTCCGCCCAATTGTGATGTGATTGGCCAAAGCATTGCACCTGACCTGTGGTCAGGTGCGTTACTTTGGTCAATCACAATGCACTGTGAGAGAGCAGTGCATTGTGGGGCGCGGCAGGCGAAAAGCCCGCCAAACGCCCTTGCCGTTCATGTGTTTGCCGAACACATGTTGAAGTTCCATTTGATTTGAACATCAAGCCCGCTACT